TTTAATGAATCTGATTTTTGCTTTGATGTACATATTGGGATGCTCTGAGTTAGCAGACAGACCAAGTTTTGTATCACTGTTAGTGATACCCAGAATATTCACACTTGAAAGGATGCTGACTACCAGTAACTCTGTGCAACCTCTGAGACAGAGATGTCAGCATTCAACTTGACTACCCCGGAACTGAAACAAAGTAGTACCATGGGTTTTAGGCACACATTTTTCCAGTGTATTTTCAGGACCTTAAATAAAAGCCATCACACCCCCACCACCTAAAAGCAAACAGAACAAAAACAATTCTAAAGCTATAGAGAAACTGTAGCACCAAAATTAAGAACACAAAAAGTTCTACCTCTTAAAGGTATGTTTATTTTTCATGAACTTTCAGGCAGACCAAATATTGTAACTACAGCTTTATTTACATTGAGACTTTAGAGAGAGAGCTTCATTTAAAAAAAGCAGCCTCAGAATTCCTGAAGAAGGCAACTTTTAAAAAAGTATTTATCAGCTTATTACATTGAGATCCTTTGTGAACTAAAACTGCATTCCTTGTTAAATATTGTGATATTTACCTGTGTCAAATGAAGAAAAACCACTTCCAAAAGCAGGGAATCCACCAAAGGCAGAGAAAAATGATCCACCACCTCTGCTTCTGCTTCCCCTTGGACCTCGCCTGCCCCCGAAGAAGTCCTCAAAAGGGTCTTCTACAAAAGAGACAACAACATTTAAGAGGTCAATATTACTGAGTGATTCTGTATTTAATCATTAGGGATTCTTCAATTAAATCGGTATTTATTTGAAGCTAACTAAGCCCAGTCAGTTAGCATTGGACCAATTCAACACTCTTCAGATGCATAATCATAATCTCTACACACTAAGTCACCATAAAGCAAACCCTTCAGCTGTTCTACAGAATTCCCTGATGTCAGACTAAGTTTTTTGAAGGTATAGAATAAAGCATAGCACTACAGGCAACTTAAACTCTCAGAATTTGAATTTAAGAAATCTTAGAATATTGCACACAGGTACCTGAACTTTCTAGCTTATTTCTAGTCAAGATTTATTGTGAATCACCATGAAGAGGTCTCTGAAAAGTAACTTCCAGATAGGTTATAGCAATTATTGAAATATAAAAACAGCAGCCAGGGATCAATGACTCATAATCTTAAAGTGTTCAAAGTGTTTATTTTAGCACTTGCCACGTTACGTACTTCAAACACGTATTCTGATGCACATTTAGGCAGCAAGTTATGGAGGTTTACACAGAGTGTCCCAAAGAGGCATTTGGTCCCTACCAAGAAGGAAGAAGAGTGGAGAAATAGAGAAAGGGGGTCATGGATAATATTATATTTCTAATTCAAGTACAACTGTTATGTCATTCAGAACAGCTGCTGTTCCACTCCCATTAGGAAGACAATAGTCTCTTTCAAAAAAAAAAAAGGGGGGGGGGGGGGGGGGGGCAGCACAGACACGGGACAGGGACGGATGACAACAACACGGGACAGGACAGGGACCAGACACCTATACAAGGAATCCTTATTTACTTTATCACATTTTCCTAAAAAAAATAGTTATTACTAGAATTATCTGAAAACGGCTTTTTACTAGTGTTCTTAAAACAAAGAACATACAAAATTGCAATCATGTAACAGATACTCAATAAACATAATACCTGCATTAAGGTCAGAAAAGTTCAGGAACTTCAACTACTCTCTCCATCAGTCACAACTCTCCCAGAGTGAGTGTTGTACAGTACCAATGATTTTACCAAGTTTTACAAGTGGGCACTCAAGTGTTGAAAGGTAACAGTCTGAAACACTGCGCAGAATAAGCTCTAACTGAAAAATTCAGAAACTGGTGATAGCAGCAATGAAAGTATGAAAGCAAGGAAAGACTCTTATAACTGCAGGACTGTTCAGAACTACAAATGGACAAAGCGAAGGTCAGAAACACAGTATTTATTCCACTCCAGTACCCCACAAAAATCCAAGCTGATTTATGATAAATCACTAAGTTAATGCAATGGTGACAATACTGAAGCAATCAACATGATAATAAAAATATATTAGTTACCATCTGGTTTATGTGCAATTACTTAACAAAAGTGAAACGTCACAATGTATTTATGCTGAACAAAGGTGGCTGCTGAGTTTCAGACTTATCCTCCCATCAGCAAAGGCATGAAATGCCAAGAACAAAAAACAACCCTATCCTTCCCCTAGCTTCCACAGTTATCAAATAAAACAAGGCAGGACCAAACTTTTATCTTACATACACCAGGCAAGCAGTGATAAGATTTTTTTCCCTACCTCAGGTATTTGTTTTGTGTTTTTTTTCATGTAGAACAAGTTTTCTTCAATAGAAAGATGACCTGTTACCTTTAAAACAACAGGAAATTGAACCAATGCTTGGGCATGGAAGTATGGGAACCTACCACCAAAATTACTATTTCCAAAACCAGCACTACACCCATTTAAAAAAAAAAAAAAAAAATTTTTTTGTCAGGCTAGCATATCAGCTAGCAAGTAAAACCACTGCAGTTAATTGTTTTGTAGTCCAATTTATTCTCGCTAGAGTGACTCATAAGTTAGTTATGAAGGTCACTCACGTGCACAAAAGATCTATATTATATTACTCCCACTGTTAAGGTTTCTATTTATAGTCCAATTTTTCTTGTTACCTGGAGTTCAAATAAAAACAAAACAATCTCCCACAGTGTATCAGCCTGTTCTGCAAGTGAATCTCTCCTCCTCAGCTCAACAGCAGCAGAAACACGAAGGTTTTTAAGGGAAGTTCACAGAATCTCCCAGACACCCCTGCTATCAACCCAGCTTCTAACTGGATTATTGCCTACTCCTAGCCACACAGCAGCCTAACCGAGACGTGGACATGCCTTATTAGCCTTTGGGAACCCTACACAGCAAAGAGATCAGCACTCCGTATTAGCAAATGTTCTAGCGTCAGGTGATTTCTGTTAGCAGCCCTGGTAATAACCCTCCTGTGCTCTCCCAGTAATTCTCTCCAGTAAGGTACTCAAACCACTCTTCCACAGTGGACTGCAGAATGCAGAGCAAGATGGATTATGCACAGACAGGAAAATGGGTAGGACTTTCCAAGGAGTAGAGCATGCAAAGGGGGGTGGGGGGTGGGGGGGGGGAAATGGAAAAAAAGCCAAAAACATTGAGGAAAGAAGGCAGCAGGAGGCTTCTGCATCATCATTTGTTGTATCCACCACCAAATACACATTAATATAGCAACCTCACAACAATTCAGACCCTGTTTATGCTTTTAGTCCCTAAATCAGGATGATTAATAGTACCACTCAGCAAAATAACATTTCAGCCTGGTAGGTCTATTTTTGTGATTTAGCAGAACTTTTCCATGCACGATAACCTTTCCACAGAGATGGCTTTTTCCAAAGGGTTCAAATGCAGTGAGTATCACAATATCAGGGTGTTGGGGTTTTTTTAATGAGCTCCTCTTATGACAGTCATTTTGGTGCTTACAATCTATGTAATTTTCTTATTGAATGTTAGGCACATATCAGATCAACAAAACTAAGTAGTGAAAAAAAAAAAAACAAAACCACCACCAAGCCACAAGTGAAGGCCTTTCTAAAAAGGGAAAATACTATATAAATACTACACAACTTAAAAGCTTCAGAAAACTGAAATGCTAGACTATGTCACCTCTTACTAAATACCGTTTGGAGATAAATTCAAAGTTTATTCTAATCTGAGTATTATCAGCAGCTTATGGGAGGACAGAGTATCAGATTCAGTTTCAACAAAAATGTTGGGGGTACACTCCTGACACAGAACTTTGGTGCTGTCAAAACAGCAGAGATTAACACAGAACCAACAGCGAGAAATTTTGAGGTAGCCAGTGACAGAATTCTAATCTATCAACAACAGCAGATGACATGAAGCTTTTGGGGGAAAAAGCAAACGCTTAAGCAAAGAACTCATGGTAGCCTGTTTAAAAAAAGGACAAAATGAAGGACTTCAAATCTCTTGCTGCTACTAGGTAGGAAGACTGCAGTTACAGAAGCCAAAAAGTTAATGCGAAGGTTGGAACACAACACCCCCAGGAACACAAAAGATTGTACACTAACAAAACCATCTGAAAATAGTTATATTAGAGGTAATGTTTCCAAAAGAATTTACTTTATTTAGAAAAATATTTGCTAATTCAAATGCAGCAACTGTCTTGCTCCTCTGGGTAAAATGTTAAACCTGCCACTGTGAACCACGGAATCCTACCTGCTTTTCTGTAGTCACAGGAAAAAAAAAATCACCTCCAAACAAGTCAAATAACAAAAACTATAATAAATATATCACTGCAGTTCAAAATAAGGTAGGTCATGACTC